CCGAAAATTACTTAAAGGCATATATTTCATTAACAAAACAGGATTTTGTGCATACGTAAATTAATACGTAATCAAGTCCATTAATAATGCATCTGATCAAAATAATAGTAACCTAATTACTGAAGCAGAATTTAAACTTTCACAATTTATTAAATATATAAAAATATTTGGATGGGATTTTAGAAAAAGTAGCTTACAGGTGGAACGTATTTAAAATTCAGCATAGCCGAATATAGCACTATAACTTGTTTAGATCTAAATAAACATTAACAAGTAAACCATATATGTATATATGTACATTAGAGTGATTCAAGCTTGTATGAAGGAAAAAAAATCTCTGACAGGCCGTCCCCCCTCTAGAATTGTTCTATAGAATTTTTTGTTTTATTTATGTTATTCCTCTAATAATATAGATCATTATTCAAATAGATAGTGTTTTTTTTCGAATTTTTGAACTTTAGTGTTAAATTGTTCCCAAGTGCCTTTAAGGGTTAATCTATACTATATACGATACGGACTATATACGATAAATTTAAGTCATTTTTGTTAAATATTGCCGACAAATAATTATTTCGATATGGTACACTAAAAATTCCCAAATATTGCAAAATTTGACGTTTGAACTCCACAGTTTATGGGTTAAGAATGTCCGATTGTAACAAACCTTCGCATATATATTTTATATTATCTGGACTATAATATTTATTTAAAATGTACATATTACAAAAAAATGCGATTTTCCTGGTAACCGTCGAGTTCAAATCGCAAGTACAGCTAAACTGTAAGAAATATTGATCTTATTTTTATACCATTTAATAATCTTATCTATTGACCATAAATCCCCATGAGATCTAAAAATTTTGTAAATTAATATAAAAAAAATCAAAAAACTGAAATTGGAGATTTGAAACGGCCGTTGAAAAATTCAAACTTTTTTGACCATAGCTGAGAACAAGTTTGCGTTATCTTATAAGGGTAAAAACTAATATTCGAGTAATTATAGATATATTTTAAGTAACAAAAAATTCCCAACTTTTTTGGAGCACTCTAATATATATGTATATGAGTCTGTTTGTGTTTTTGATTGATACGCTTTCACGGCAGAACTACTGAATTTTTATTATTACATGAAATTTGGACCACTAATAGGTCTAACCTCAAAAGAAGCAATAGGCTCTATGTGATCTTGATCCGATGTCACGTCACTTTTTACGCCCATTTAAAAAAACTATTATATATATGTATGTATGTAAACTCCTGAACCGATTTAATTTATTTCCAAATAAACCTAGCCTATTGGCCATAATCGGTTACAAATTTCTACTTACAAAAAAATTTATACATAAAAAATATAATCATATAACAAATAATTAAAAATAAAAAATAACTTAATAATAAAATAAATTATAAAATAATTTTGAAAAATATATTAAAAGTTGTACCGCCAAAATTTAAATCCTAACTCAAAGCGCAAAAGATTAATAATGGAAGTTCATGAAATTTGGTACGATAGATCTGACCTCAGAAGAAACCATATAAAATTTGGATCGGACCACGACCCTTTTTACGCCCCCTTTTATTAAATAGTTGTGATAACAACTTTTCATTTGTGACGTACAAGAAAACTACTAAACCGATTTACATGAAATTTGGCATTCAAATCTTCCTAAAAATGTTCTTTTATATGAACTTAAATCAGTTATAGTTCATTAAATAATTTATGATTATGATTACTTATATTTTCCATACAAATCGATTTCTATATTAATAATATGTATAAAAATAAAAATCTTTAATCAATTAAGTTTTCCATCAAAAATGTATTTACATATAAATGTCGGTATGAAGACGGCTTCCAATGCTTAAATGCAGCTCAAATATAGAAAACATAACCAGACATTTTTTTTTCTAAAAAAAAACAAAATATGAGAAACTACTCTTTTATGTATAACATAAATACGAAGCTCTGCTAATTTTCAATCTTAAATGAAAGTATATAGTATCAGTATATTTCAGACACGCTATTAACTAATCAAAAAATCGGTCCATATGCTTTTGAATTATATTAAAAAATACGGCTACCTCGATTTTTTCATTAAAAAAAAAATTTAATGGGCAAAAACAGACATCAAGTTCTAATTAATTGTATTTAAAGAACTTTTGATTGCAGTTTGGTTGTTCTAATGGAGTTTTTTAATTTGCAAATGGTGCGGAAATGTGCAAAATTATAATTAGTGTTCGCACTATGTATTTCGTGATGCTGTGAAGTCTGTTATTTGTATGCATTACCAGCACCAACATTAGTACCATCCTTTTGGAAATTCTTGACTGCATCGAAAAAAATTGTAAGACGTTGTTTTGTTTTTTCTTAACCAAATAAGAGAGCGGTATTTATCAAACATAAAAAATAATAATAAATGAAAAGTGTTTGTGTGCGAACATAAAAAAGTTTTGTTTTTTTTTTTTATTTTGATTACTTTAGTGTTGAGAAGTCAAAATTTTAATATCCAGATAATAAACAAATAAATATTAAGCCAATACAAAGGAGACTTTGTGTTTTTATAGCGTAGGTAAGTAAACTGAAAGATAACGTTAAAAAAATCGAAATCCAGATTCGAATTCAGCGCAACTCACATTTAGAAAAGTATACTTTGGTCTCTGAGTTGAAAATTTATTGACTTGTGTAATAATTAGCACTTATTTACATACATACATATATAATAGTTTAGTCTTGTTGAGACTAAATTGTTGAGATTTTTTCGCTAAAAAACCTTATTTTAACAAATTTGAATTTTAAAAATTAATTAATATATATTTTGATTGAATCCTAACTGTAAATAGTTATATAATCATGTCTGTTCCATAAATTGGATCGGTTTCAAACCGAGCAACTTTTAAAACCGAATTAGTTGTTCTGCAAATCAAATTTTTATTTGAACGTAAAATTCAGAAAAATAAACATATTTTAAATGAAAAAGAGTTTAAAATGCCCATAGCATTTATACATTCATATTAAGTTACAATTGTATTAAAAAACGCAAAAAAATAATCATTTATTTTGATATGTGTACCTACTCGCTTTTAAAACGGAAAAAATTATGCGAATAACGAGAAATGTACTCGGATTCAGTTTACAAAACAGACAGGATTCCTGTTTCCATTCTCTTCAGATTTGTAAATATTACTTTGGAACAGTAAAGTAAATTGACACGATTTCCTTCACTTTGGTTTTGTTTATATATTGGGTTTTTGACCCAATATATAAACATTCAACTAAATGTTTAAACAATTATAGATAGATTATAGATAATGTCTTTGAATCCTTGTTGGACTCTCTTGCGTTTAATTTTATATACAATCAAAATATTTTATGTGTTAAATCTTTGAATTTTCTTATTTCAGGCTCCTGACTCCGTTTGCATAGGCTTTTCTTTGGACGATCAATATATAGGTTTTTAATTATTTAATAAACAGAGATACTGCAATTTATTTAAGAATGCGATAACTCTAAATGTATTCGATTATTAAATTTAAACAATATTTTTGAGAAAACCTAAAACTTTATAAAAAATTCTCTTTTTTGGTATAAAATCTTCTAATCTTCACACCACCTCAAAAAACTTGAAAATGAAGATAAATCTTCATATATGGAAACACTGGTTACGAATGCGAACACTATTTTTTAGCAAATTTAAACAAAAAATTAATGTAAACATTTTTAGCGAATGAAAATTAAAATTTCTTATGCTGTATTTTTATACCCTCCACCACCATCAGTGATGATAGAGGGTATATAACTTTGACATTCCGTGTGTAACACCAAGAAATATTCATCTGAGACCCAACAAAGTATATATATTCTTGATCCTGAGTCGATTTAGCTATGCCCGTATGTCCATCCGTCCGTCTGTCTGTGTAAAACACGCTCACGCTAAAACGATCAATAGAAATAGAAAAACGAAATTCACCCAAAACATTCCTTATTATCCGGTACAGTTTGGTATTGAAAATCAGTAAAATCGGTTAGCGACGTTAAAAGTTATGAGTAAAAATATTCTTAAGTAGTTTTCTCAGAAACTACCAAAGATATTTCGATGAATTTTGTCACACATTATTTTTTTGTGCCAGGGATAAAGTATGTTCATACTCATAACAATTGATCCAATATTTCCCATAGCCCGCATAAAAAGGTGTATATTCCTGGAAATTAGTTTATCGTTAATAACTCCCTCAAATATATCGGTATCAACACAAAATTTCGTACATACAAATATAATATGAATAAAATACGTATCGGTATAAAATAAAAATGTTTTGTGTACGTATAAATCATTCTAACAATTTTTCCCCGGATCGATCCATTATTGGTCATAGCACCCATATAAGGCCCTCTTCCGAAAATCATTTAAACTCACATATTTCTTTGTCAAATAAAGCTATCTTGATAAAATTCGGCACAAATATGTTTTGTGTACATACATATGAATCACTCTACGAAATTTTTCTGGAGAGACCCGTAATTGGTCGTAGCTCCTATATGAAGTCAAAAAAAAAAATTAAATAGTTAAATGGGTTTTAATAAAAAGTAGCTTGCTGGTGGAGAGTACTTAAGATTCGGTGTAGCAGAATATAGCACTCTAAATGGTTTTTTTATACGTTCACATAATAAACTTTTTTAAAAACTAACTACATAAAAGTTTTTAAAATTTAAAATGTACGTTCACACCTATAAAATATTAGACGATAATAAATCGCACGTGCCATTCGTCAAATATTTGAAAGCCGTAAACGTATCTTTAGAATTTTGTAATAATGGGTTCATTGTCAAATTAATACATAATTGCTTAAAATCGGGTCCAAGATTTTAGTTCTTATAAATTCCGAATTTTTGTTAGCATTTATGAAAAATATACATATATATACATATATATAATAGTTTAATCAATATGTATGTATATGTGTCTGTAAATTATATAATAATAAATATCTTATTGCTTTACATGTATAATATTCCATCATATTTTGATTGTAACGATATGCTGTGGACAAATCCATGATCGTTTTGAATTGATTTGTGCTGAGTTAAAGTAACGTAAACTTAGTTATTTCTTGGGGATTTCAGGAACTAGAATCGGAACAGCAATTTGTTGTTGTTTATTAAAACATATGTTGTTTACACTTAATTACAATACCATTAACTAACACTTATTTACTTTTTGTATGTGGTTCTTTACATTATTTACAAACACTTTTAACTTTTTTCATTTAGATATTCAGGCCAAAATATTAGACTTTTTCTTATAATTATTTATTTTTTTAATTGTGATTTTAAATACATCAATAATTATGACAACTTTTGTAATAATTTAAATTTTGCACATATGTTTTTTAATTTTATTATTATTTTGAATTTGAAATGCACGTTATTTTAGGGTTTGACTATTGTTAAAGTTATTCCAAATTAGTTAGTTGTCTGTTTAATATCGAAGAATTTATCGTGCCGAACAACTACTGTCATGTAACGCATTTAAAGACGGCTTATTGCGGTTACAAAACGACCGACTGGAATTTTGTGTGTGATTTTTTATTACTTTTCTTATTATTTTTTTGTGTTGGGTGTGCGTGTACTTTTTGGATACTGGATAAATGGCATAGGAAAAAACGTTTCCAGTAAAGGTTTACCACAATGTTGGCAGATAACCTGGCGGTGGATATGGCTGTAAATTTAACTGTGCGTGTTTGGTTGAGTGTAAATGTGTTTTACTATAAATATATTTATGAACATGCTCCTTTTTTGTAATTTTGTAGATAGCTTACTATGATTTTGTTTAGCATTAAATGTCACGCCGCGCCACTTTTGCTTTGTAATATGTGTCAACAAATCAGTGGGCAGATAACGAACCGTGCATCTACTACCAGTCAGTCAGCCAGGGTCAGCCAACCAACCGATGTTGGAAGATGTTGTTAATACGTAACTTTAGAGTGGCGCTCAAGAGTGAGCAGTTCCAAACATCTACAAGCCGTATAAAAATGCGCGCGCGTCTTCTTCAAATCTCAAATATTTCCGAAATCAACAACAAAAAAAAAAAATTAAATTTTTGTTTGTTGTACAAAAATAATTATTTTTATGCACAAAGAAAAACCTTTATTTTATTCCTCTTGACTTCACAAACTAACAAATATGTAACTAATGCCTTGAAAAAAACGTTCAGATTTCTTGCTATCCTGATAAATTTTTTCAGGTTTGTCGGTTGGTCTTTCGGTCGTTTCTGCTTTTGAATTATGTATAAGCAAAAAATAAAAGACATTTAGTCATAACATAACGACTTTCACAGGAGAGAAAAAAATCAATCGAGACAAAAGGCAACAAACACAGTGCTGGTGGTGTCTATCTGTAACTAATACCGAGCAAAGATTTTAATAAAATAATGACTAAATACACTCACACACTCGTGCATACATACACTCTTCTCTCGTACAAAAATTTAGAAGACAATGATAACAACAATGATGCTTATAGTGCGTTTTGTTAGATTAATAATGGGCGGTGGTGTGAGTGAGTCACTCATTGCGTAACGGAAGAGCGAGCATCTTCCGTTACACTGCTGTGCACTGTAACAATGACCGCCCAACCGCATTTGCGCGCAGCCAATACTTGACTAACAAACAGAAATGTAACGACCAATGGAGATCTTCCATCCCCGCAAAAGGAAAATTATACATAGGTATTACAAGATAAAAAAAGGCAAAAACAGTAAAATATCAATCTGTATAAGATTTCCTGACATTACGAATTTTGTTACTGTCTCTCAGATAGTCTGTCCGTCTGGCTCCTTGTTTAATCTTGGCAATCCGATTATTGGTTTTGCTTTTTAACAGCGTTGTCAATTTTTAATTTAAAAAAGCACCAACATAAAAAACAAGTAAGAAAGTATAGTCGGGGGTGACCGACCATATGATACCCTACACCAGTTATGAATATTAAATGTGATTTATTTTTCATAATAAAGCATTTATCTTTAATATTCCCTTGTTCCGATACATTTAAGCAATTTATGGATGAAAAACTAATTTTCTGAAAGAGGCTTTATATGGGGGCTAGGGGCAAATATGGACCAAGCCTGATAAAATTTTGTGAATATATTTTTATGTACATAATCTTTTATTGTGCTGAATTTCATCGCGATATTTGTATTTATAAGTTAATTTTTGGACATTCAAGTAATTTTCTGAAGGAGACTTTGTATGGGAGCTAGGGTCAAATGATTCCCGACTTCTATGAAAGTTGGCAAGTTGCGTCGTTAATATGAAAATGTTTGTACAAAGCTAAAACAGAAAAAGGGAATTTCCCGTCAATACATACATACATACATACATACATACATACATACATACATACATACATACATACATACATACATACATACATACATACATACATACATACATACATACATACATACATACATACATACATACATACATACATACATACATACATACATACATACATACATACATACATACATACATACATACATACATACATACATACATACATACATACATACATACATACATACATACATACATACATACATACATACATACATATGTATTTATGTTGTCTGATGGTACCCAGCAGTTCGACAAAGAGTCAATGCATACGTAAAAGACAGTCATATACACTAATGTGTAACCATATGGTTGACCCTAATTTCTATATATTGGGTTATTCGTCACCAACGTACTCTTCGTAAACGAGAGTGAAGACAGTCGTCACTTTACTGTACCCTAGGTAAACGAGTGAGGAGACACTTAAAAATTCATTTTTTCCATTGTACTTCAGAATGTAGATATTTTACACATCTATTGGAGACACAATTGTTATTTTCCACTAAAGTTTAACCAACTGGTTGTACCCTATTTGAATGTTTTTGGTCATTCGTCACGAATGTACACTTTGTAACCGAGAGCGAAGACAGTCGCCACTTTACTGTACACCAAGTAAGCAAGAGAGTGGCAGTCGTCACTTAACTGTCCCTGAGTAAACGAGAGAGGGGACACTTAAATGAACTTGAGAATTGAAGGTGAAGAGAAAAAGAGCAAACATGATCAGTTTAGTCTGAGTGCAAAGACAATGAACAGTTATACTTTTTTATCACATTTTAAGTGATTTGATTTTTATGTTAGTTGACTTTAATAAGTTGTTTAAGACAGTTCTTGAGAAAAATTTTGTTGTGTAAATTTTAAAATAAGAAAATGATTTTTATTTTGATTAAAAAATAGTAAAATTTAAATATGAGATATTTACAATTTTGAAGAGTGAATTTATTTGAGATGAGTTAAAACTAAAAACTTTAGCAGAGATTACGGAAGAAAATAATATTTCCTTAATGTAACAAATTCTATTCTTTCAGATTCATACATATACATATGTATTAATGAATTCCAAAGTTTAAAAGTCTGAGCAACAATATTTATGTATTTCAATATTTATTTAATCTAGAAATAAAAGTATTTTTTTAACAGCTTTTTTTTTATTTTTCATAAGTTTTTAGAATTATACCTCGACGGACCGGTTATTTAACCCTACTGCAATACCTGTCCATTGGACAAGCTACTTGGAGACACTTCACTTCCCTTGGGACACATCGATAGCTAGTAAAGTAACTAGTAAAAGAGCTAGTAATGTGACTGACTCCCAAGAACCCATTTGGAGATTACCATCCATTGACTACTTTTGACTACCTCTTGAGAGTCTCATTGTAGACTGTAGAGTGACGATTGACTTCCTCGTAGGACAAGCCCATGTTAAAATGGTTGGTCACCTGGGTAGTCGGGTGGCTAGGGGCCACCATAAGTGGTATGTCAAGTGGTTAGTTCGGGACTGTCCCGTCGAACTGCTGGGTAGCAAGTTGTAGGTCGTTAGTAGTTATTACATTTGCTGAAGTCAAGTTGATCTAAATATTTTGCAGCAATGAGTCAAAAAAGAAAGCAATTATGCTTAGAACAAAAGCTTGACATTTTAAAACGTTTTAAATCAGGAGAAAGGGCTGTTGATATTATAACAAAATCAGCAAGATTGACACATCCCTCAGTTGATTTAGTCGATTTAGATGACTAAAGTTGAAAAAAATACGATAAGACTTTTGATTTTATTCTAAGAATTCCTTATTTTTAATTTTAATATTTTTGTTATGTGTTTTTGCATTACTCCAATGAATTGTTATATTTTTATAATAATAAAAACTATTTAAAAAAATAAATTTATTGAAAAACCTACTTTTTCAGCTAAAATTATGATCCTCGGAACCAATTAAATGAAAATCAATACAAATGTATGGAAAATCGTGCTTCGTTTTGCGTCGCGTTTCTTCAGGCCCTATTAGCAACGCAAACCGGGGTATTAGTGTATGTAATAGGTATAAACTAATTAGTGTTTTTTATTTAAAATTAATGAAAATACATTATTGACCGCTCGTGCGGTAAATTTATTTTGTTTATAATTTTTTAATGATTTTGTAATTTTTTTATTTTTTCGGCTCGACAAATAATAATTTTAGGAAATTGTAGCTTTGAATACGAAAAACCCAATATAATCCTTTCTTAATATATTTTTGTACTTAAGAAATAGGTATACATAAAAAATATATTCAATTCATATAACAAATTTAAAAATAGAAAAATAAATTATTAATAATAAAAGAATTGTAAAATAATTTGAAAAAAGAAAAACAAGTAAGAAAGTATAGTCGGGCGTGGCCGACCATATGATACCCTACACCAGTTATGAATATTAAATGTGATTTATTTTTCATAATAAAGCATTTATCTTCAATATTCCCTTGTTCCGATACATTTAAGCAATTTATGGATGAAAAGCTAATTTTCTGAAAGAGGCTTTATATGGGGGCTAGGGGCAAATATGGACCAAGCCCGATAAAATTTTGTGAATATATTTATATTTACATAATATTTTATTGTGCTGAATTTCATCGCGATATTTGTGTTTATAAGTTAATTTGGGACATTCAAGTAATTTTCAAGGGTCAAATGGGGCCCGATCTTTATGAAATTTGGCAGGGTCATCAAGACTTCTATAAAACTTAGTTGTGCCGTATTCTGTA